ACTACCAGGAGAGAGTCCCCATCCCGCCTCCTGCAGCACAGCGCCCCCTAGCGTTGCCCTGGGGCACCGGGACCAGCCCTGACTACCAGGAGAGAGTCCCCATCCCGCCTCCTGCAGCACAGCGCCCCCTAGCGTTGCCCTGGGGCACCGGGACCAGCCCTGACTACCAGGAGAGAGTCCCCATCCCGCCTCCTGCAGCACAGCGCCCCCTAGTGCCAGGCTGGGGCACCAGGACCAGCCCTGACTGCCAGGAGAGAGTATCCCCACCCCGCTCCCTGCAGCACAGCGCCCCCTAGCGGCCATGCTGGGGCACTGTGACCAGCCCTGACTGCCAGGGGAGAGTCCCCACCCCGCTCCCTGCAGCACAGCGCCCCCTAGCGGCCATGCTGGGTCAGTGGGGCCAGGGGAGAGCGCCCCCTAGGGACTCACCTGGATGGAATACACCAGCGCCACGATGCCCAGGGGCAGGCAGCAGCAGAGAAGGGTGAAGATGGAGTAGCCCAGGTAGTCAGCCTCATTGGCAGGAGGCGGGGAGACCAGGATGACCTGCTGTGGGGCATAGCCCATCTGGCCCCGGTTGGGGTCCTCGTTGTACGGGGGGTAATAGCCCTGTGGGTTGGGGGGCATTCCGGGGGCTGCCCCGTAGCTTGCGGTGGGGAATTGCCCGCCGGAGGGCAGTAGCGGGGGAGGGGCCCCATAAGGTGGCATGTTGGAGTATGGGGGGGGCTGAGCAGGGGCGGAGGGCTGGGGGCCTTTATCATAGCCTGGGTAGCTCATGGTGCCGCACTCCTCCTGGGCGCCTTTCCCGGTCTGCCGCTCCCTCGGGGCGTGTCTCCGAGCCCTCTAATTTCCAGGCCTCCCCTCTCCTCCTCCGGGCCGTTCTCCCGCTCCTCCGGCACCTGCTTGCTGTATTTCCTGAGACGACTTGGGGCGTTCTCCCCTCTGAGCCGCCTTTCCCGCTCTCCTTTCCCCCCCTGCTGCCTCAGGCCCTGGGGTCCGCTGGGCAAATTCAGGATGTTTGCTCTTCTCCCCTCTGCCCGTCACGTCCTTCCTCTGCTCGGCTGAGCAAACCCACAACGGTCACTCTTTTCCTTCTGCCTTTCACCTTCCCTCTTCCCTCGCAGAGTATCAGAGACCCCCGGATCTCTCCCTCCTTTCCGCCTTTCGCCGTCTTCCTCCCCTGAGAAACTAGATGCTCCAGGATCCTCCGCTCCTCCGCTCTGCCTTTCCCGGTCTCTTCTTCTTCGCAGATCCAGTGCCCTTTATCCACCACACAGAGACGGCCCCCAGGCCCGCCCCCAGCCTGCAAAGAGGAATAGGACAAGAACCAGCCTAGCCAGGTGCAGCCACACCCAAGAGAGCAAATGTGAGCCCTGAGAAAGAATCCCGCAATAAATCGCCCGTTTCCTGCCCCACCTACCCCTCATGTCCCTGCCTAGTGGCCCGTTAAAAGTCAGCATGACACTCCCATCTGGGCTGCCAGGAAGGGAGCGTTTGCTCCAGGGCCGGGTTTTCATAGAGTCATAGAATCATAGAATATCAGGGTTGGAACAGACCTCAGGAGGTATCTAGTCCAACCCCCTGCTCAAAGCAGAATCCAATCCCAACTAATTCATCCCAGCCAGGGCTTTGTCAAGCCTGACCTTAAAAACCTCTAAGGAAGGAGATTTCACCACCTCCCTAGGGAACCCATTTCAGTGCTTCACCACCCTCCTGGTGAAATAGTGTTTCCTAATATCCAACCTAAACCTCCCGCACTGCAACGTGAGACCATTGCTCCTTGTTCTGTCATCTGCCACCACTGAGAACAGTCTAGGTCTGTCCTCTTTGGAACCCCCTTTCAGGTAGTTGAAAGCAGCTATCAAATCCCCTCTCATTCTTCTCTTCTGCAGACTCAACAAATCCCAGTTCCCTCAGCCTCTCCTCATAAGTCATGTGCTCCAGCCCCCTAATCATTTTTGTTGCCCTCCGCTGGACTCTTTCCAATTTTTCCACATCCTTCTTGTAGTGTGGGGCTCAAAACTGGACACAGTACTCCAGGTGAGGCCTCACCAGTGTCGAATAGAGGGAATGATCACGTCCCTCGATCTGCTGGCAATGCTCCTAATTATACAGCCCAATATGCCGTTAGCCTTCTTGGCAACAAGGGCACACTGCTGACTCATATCCAGTTTCTCCTCCACTGTAACCCCAGGTCCTTTTTTGCAGAACTGCTGCTTAGCCACTCGGTCTCTAGTCTGTAACAGTGCATGGGATTCTTCCGTCCTAAGTGCAGGACTCTGCACTTTCCATCTCTAACCACTTGCCCCCACTCCCCTCCCAGAGCTAGGGATAGAACCCAGGCGTCCTGGCTCCCAGCTACCCTGACTCTAACCATTTGACCCCACTCCCCTCCCATAGCAGGGGAGAGAACCCAGGAGTCCTGACTCCCTGCCCTCCCAATCACTAGACACCCTTCCTGTGCAGCTGTAGGATTAAAGACCATTTATCTCATTGATATTATCACTGTGATGTAATCACCCTTTGTTCCTGATTTTCACCCTACTTTTGTATCATTCAAATATATAAAAAATAACTTGTTTTATTAGGGAAATACACTGTATGGCATGAGATATATGGATTAGGATAATACATTAGTCTGTTGTATATGCAAAGCTGCCGCTTAAAGTAAGGTTATGTATTAGTCTGGAAGATAACCACACAATAACCAAACAGGCCCGCAGGCAAGCTCTGAAGTGTGTGCCTCTGAACGTCCCGATGACTCTCCCGCCCACCACGGACACATTTCAAGCTGCTCGCCGAGAACGGTTTAAAGATCTGACGCACTGAAAGGGGAAGAAAACGAAAATCTGTCTCAGAACACGAGGACGCATTCAAAAGTTAAAAAAAATAAAGGAGAAAAGGATGAAGTTGAGTGTATCCGCTGCAAACGGTGGGGCCCAATTATTAAACATTCATATTTCTAGGCTTAATCGTTCTAAGTCAGCAACAGTAAACGGCTTATTCAAATGAAAAGCTTTATGTGGGGATTAGCGATACATTGTTCTCTTAACCGCCGAGGTGGCCTTGTGTCTGGAGTTCGATGTTAGTTCTGTAGCAAACCACATTGAATTCTGTTCATCAAAGTGTTAAGCCACTGAGCACTTTTCCCCCCGATCCACCAAAATAAACCCCGAAGATTTACCCAGACAAATCATCACTCGTTTTTGGCACTGATTTTCACCCCCTGTGGTTCTGCAAATTACCTAAGGGCATGTGGTAGTTCCCGTGACTCTGGGATCCATCTTGGGCCAGTGATTTTCCATGCAGCAGGGCTGGGGGCTTTCTTTGGGACAGTCCATTTCCATGCCCACGGCAGATAGGATATAAATTGCAGTTGCAACACCTCCATTTTGCCTCTTTCCTGACCCCATTCACTGGACTGTGGATTTACAATTATAATTAATAGAGATATCCCATCTCCTAGAACTGGAAGGGACCTTGACAGGTCATGGAGTCCAGCCCCCTGCCTTCACTAGCAGGACCAAGTACTTATTTTGCCCCAGATTCCCCCCTCAAGGATTGAACTCACAACCCTGGGTTTAGTAGGCCAATGCTCAAACCACTGAGCTATCCCTCCCACCCCAATTAACAGGAGCACCTTGAACTTGGGACTGAGGACCTTCCAACCCTTTGGAAGTTACCAGAGAATCTTTGTCAAGCCGTCTGTCCCGTCAAACCTTATCTAAGGACTTTGCAATCACTTGTCTGCATAGGATTTATTACCCATTTATAACTCTCTCTCCTTTTATAGTTGGTTTACTAAGGATTGGCTGACAGCGCGCTAAGATCTGAGCTGATATTGACCTGGGGTAGGGTGACCAGATTGTAACTGTGAAAAAACGGGACGGGGGGTGGGGGGTAATAGGCGCCTATATAAGAAAAAGTCCCCCAAAATGGGACTGTCCCTATAAAAACGGGACCTCTGGTCACCCTAACCTGGGGGGAAGTGTCTCATCCTTTGGGATTGGAACGAGCCTCACAGCGGGTGAATTGGGTTTTCAGTAACCTCTCACTATATTAGACCTATTTGTCTGGGTGGGAGTCAAGGGCTGGGATGCCTAAAGGGGACGGCGTCTGGCTTCTGCTTAACCAGTCTGGTGCTGCAAAGCCTCTTTTTGCTGCAGCCGATTCTAGAGAAAACCACCAGCTCTGGGGATTGTCTGCCCTGAGTGCGTCATTCTCACTGTGGGCCATCCCGGTCACAGCTCCACGCCCAGCTCCGACGTGGCAAGGGCGTGTGCTGGGAGAGTCCGTGTCCAGCCCTGGGGAGTTGTATTGGCAGTGTTAAGGGAAAACAGCAAATGTAACTTCATTTTGTGTTTCAGGCCCATTATTAGCTAGAAGCCAGCATTCCATGTACTAGGAGGGAGAAGGGGAGGCCTTTGGACACAAGAAGATAAGGGCAGCAGTTGAGAAACAAGCTAGCCGCATACCTAATCAGCTGCAGCATTAGACAGCACCGGCAGCACGCCTAGAGGGGATGGGGGTAGATAAGGGAAAAGTTTGTTTACTAGCTATGATGCACGAGGACAGCACGCTTTGCTAAAAAGTATA